TTTTTTTTTTATAAGGCATCCATCTTTTATTGTTGTAGAAGAAAGCAATGCAAACTATAATCTCATCAACAAATGGATGAAAATGTCAATTCAGAGGACTGGTCACTTCTTTATAAATGACAGGAGACGCAGAAATAAAGTAAATATGGTGCACGGTCAATTTTATTGATGTACAGACCAATAAATAACCTTTTTTCATGAATAGCATTCAAGAAAAGAGTTTGTCACCACAGTATATAAGGAGTGCAAGGGTCATTAGCTGCTTTGTACCATTACTGTTATGCAGATCTGTCCTTCACTTTTCAGTCCATCTACAAACAAATATCATCAGCCAGCAACAAACAAGTGAAGGGAAACAGTCCACAGCGGAAGTATACAGAAAGATATTATTTTATAACAAACATAACTTTTTCCCATTACAATAAATATTTTATTTGTCTAAATCTACAAAAACATAGCTCAAATTCTAAAACTATACCTTACATACCTGGGGGTATTAACCCTGGAATTTAAAATAATTCACGTGAATACGGGCGTGTGATAACATTTAGCAACATAGTGCATGTTCACAGTTTGTGGGCTTACCTATACACTTGTTCAAAATAAGCCATTATACCTTTTTCATGTGAGATATATGATATTTTGCTAAATAAACTGCACAAGAATGAAAAGCAAAGTTAAAGACATCAACAAAAAGGTGACATCATTTCCGAATATTTATAATTCACTTAGAGAAAAAGGAAACGTTGTTAAGTACCTTTGGATGTCTGGCCACTGGTAGAAAAGCTCAAAGGCTGCGTTCAGCTGTGATAGACCGCCCAAAAGGGGAAAACAGAGAAGCGTAGCACTTTATCCGACCAAATTGTTGACATCTAAGGCCTCAGGATTTAGTAAAAATGCAGAACCCAATTCCTGATTCCAGATTTTCATCTGACTTATTTATACCCATGCCTGAGACATTTACTGCTGCTTAGTTTAGTGCTCTGCTCGTATAGTTCGAAACAGTGGTTCTCAAAGTAAAGCCAGGGGATCCACAAGGGTGAAATTATGAGCTAAAGACAGATTGTTTTCTATCATTTAAAAGGGATTGGAATCATTTGCAGCACTAAATTGGGTGCACCCCATGTTATATTTGGGCCAATAGAAACTCTGGAATGATTATGACAGATGATATCAATCTTATGTGAAACCACTTACAGTGCTGTGAGAAAGTCCCCTTTCTGATTTCTTACTCCTTATTTATTTCTTTATTTGCATATTTGTCACACTTGAATATTTCAGATCATCAAATAAAATGTTAGTGTTAGAAAAAAATAACCTGAGAAAACACAAAATTTTATTTTTAAATGATTATTTCATTTGTTAAGGGAAAAAAAAGCTCACCAAACGTACTTATCCCTGTGTGAAAAAGTAATTGTCCCCCATGTTAAATCATGAATTAACTGTGATTAACCACATATTTTGGAAAACAACACAGAGAGCCTCATTCTGACACTGTTGTGTCTCCTTTTCCAATTTAATGGCAAATCCAAGAGGGGATTCAAAGGATAAAACATGGACTAATATAAGAGATGTAATGACTGAAGTTCAGTTTAGTTGGCTACACTCAGGCCTGATTACTGTGAGACCTGCAGAATCAATAAATCCCATTAACTAGTCAACTTCGCCTGACCAGGTGAAGTTGACTACTTGACACTCATGCCACAATATAAAGAAACGGATGAGAAACCAATTCATGGTTCCATTAATTACAATGAGTCATCCAGATCCTAAAACAGCAAAGGAGCCTCAGACCATGACACTACCACCACCATGCTTGACCGTGGGGATAATTTTGTTTTTATGAAATGCTGTGTTAGTTTTATGTCAATATGTAACACAACAAAAAACCAAGCAATGAACAAATAAAATGGTTTTTTGTTGTGTTACATATTGACATAAAACTAACACAGCATTTCATAAAAACAAAATTATCCCCACGGTCAAGCATGGTGGTGGTAGTGTCATGGTCTGAGGCTCCTTTGCTGTTTTAGGATCTGGATGACTCATTGTAATTAATGGAACCATGAATTCTGTACCAGAATATCCTAAAGGAGAATGCCCAGCCATCATTTTCAGCAGGTTATGCAGCAGAACAATGATTTGAAACACACCAGCATGTCTAAAATCTGAATGGCTCAAATAATTATCTCAAACTCTTGACTGTAGTTCTTACTGCCAAGGCTGGAACAACCAGTCATCAGGTTTTGGCTATCATCGCAAAGTTTTGAGTAGCTATTTTTCCTTAATAAATGAAATCAGCATTTGAAAAATACATTGTGTATTTATTCATATTGTCTTTGTCTAATTATAAAATTGATCTGAAACATGTAAGTGTGACAACTGTGTAAAAAAAGGACGGGGTGCTGTTTAGCTTGGCTTGTTAGCAATCTAAGTAGCAGACAAGCATTAAGAAACTGAGTTATTCAACATCATCCAGCGATTCTACCACATCAGCTAATGTGGTGTTACGATTGTTAAGGGCTTCTTGAAACATATTTTTTAGAGGTCCCTGGCCCCAAAAGTTATGTAATGCTATGTGAGAGCTATGTTTTGTATAAATAGGGTGGAAGTTCTATGACAGAAGTCCATTATAAAACAGTCCTATGCTACCTCGGTAAGAAAATTTGCAAAACGTCTTGAGGGCTTGACAGAGCTACCTTAGAGTTACGGATTCATGGAATGTTCCTCTGTTTCTTGGTTGTAGACCTCAAGGCTGAATCAATTCAAAATCATTTTGGTCCATCTTCTCCAGCATGTTAGTGAGTCTTGAGCTAAGACCTTTTCTCTATAATCTTCAGAAAATATTTTGCAGCAGTACAAGAACAAATAAAGCATCTGTGTCTGAACAACTGTTCACATTATCAAATCATGAACATTACTGTACGATTCATAACTATTGTACGTTATCCCTGAAAGAACACCACCCATTACCACAATGGTGCCTCTCAATGCACAGTTTACCCTCTCATCTCCCTGTGCTTTCTAAGCATTTCTCAATCTGAGAAATGTAAAATATATGTTCTCAGCCGACGGCAAAGTCTTTACTTTTTATGGATGTCCTCATGCCGGATGATCTTGTAGGTAACCCAGTAGAAGACATTGAAGATGAGGAAAGCCAGAGGAAAAGCAGCCCGTGAGATCGTGTCGATCCTCTTGGCTCTGTCCACAAACTTTTTCCTCATGGTGTCTATGTCCTTTGAGGCTGATTGTTGAGGGTTGGGAGCTGGAACAGCATTTTTAACAGCTGAGCCATCCTTTGTTGGCAGACATTGGCTCATGTTGTAGCCGGCAAAATTAAAGCGGCCTTCACGCAGATCGTCATCCTGAAAAGTGACATGCACATGTGGATGAGTTTGCTAGAGCTTTTTAAAAGCCTGCAGCTCAGATGTTAGGCTTTACTTTGTAATGACTGAAGGTTTTTCAACAAACCCACATGAACATGAACATTAATCATGAGATATTGCACTTTCAAATTAATTTAAAATAAACTCCCAAGATAACCTGATGCACAGTGGCGGAAAAAACATTTACAGAGATTGCTTCGGGAGATGAATCTTAATCCATCCATCCATTTATTTCCTTCTGCTTATTCAATACAGGGTCACAGGGGGGGTGAATCTTAATTCAGACAAACAGCAATAAAGGTGCATGTGTTCAGCGCCCCTGACAAGTTTCTATGGCTATGATAGCAAATAGAGGTAGAGCTAATAGGAAGTCAGCAGTTTTGCAGGTACTGGGATAACAAAACAAGACCATTATTATTATGTTGTATTCTTTTATTCTGGAGGAACTATATCAGTTCCTCCTGGGTTGCACATGAGACTTCCTTTTTCTCCATTTAAAAGATTGTCATTCAAATCAACAGCTGAAAGATGGTAATTGCCACATACTTGTAGTTAGAAAATGTGCTTTTTGTGATGTAAAACTAAACTGACTCACACTGACAATTCATCCAGCTCTTTGGACAAAATTTGGTAGAAATCCATCCATCACATCTGAAATCACAAAGGCCAGTATCACGGTGGCCACAGTCAACAGTATGATGACCTACATAGACTCTGAAATATCATTTCTCCTTTCCTTTTGAAATTTTTTCCCTTTTTGTCATGCAGTCCAAATAAAACCAGTGTTTTATTGACTGACTTTATATGACCTCATGCTTCCTGCCTGCCGATCACCATGAGTGTTAAATCCCTGGAGTTTGGCTGATTTTATTCTGGGACTATTTTTCCAACTGAGCCTACTGCCTGCCCCCTTTCTCATGGACAGTCTGCCTGTGTATGACCCCTGCTCTGCCCATTAAAACAAGATTTATAGACTTTTATCCAGAGCTCTGTCCGATTCCTGCATTGGAGTCTGCCCTTGGTTCGAGCACATTATAGTTAGGCTGCATCTTTCTGGACTCATGAGCTTTATACCAAATTCTAAAGTAATTCACTTGGTAAATTTTGAAATATGAGTGAAAATTTTGACTTTTGGCATCTTAAACAAAAAAAAGGGCGTGAGACTTTACATACCTGATCTACTGTGATTCATGCTCTGAGCCATACAAATGTTTTACAAAATTTAAAGCAATCCATCCAATAGTTAATGAGAAATTTTGTTTCAGACCAAAGAGGTATTATTGATGCTCATCCTCAGAGACACACTACTTCTTCTTCATCTTCTTGTTCTTGTTCTGGTTTCTTCCTTTAGGGGTTGCCACAGCAGATCATCCGCCTTCATCTCACCATATCACTGGCACCTCTCACACCAGCCCTCTGCATGTCCCCTTTCACTACATCCATCAGTCTTCCCTGTAGTCATCATTTTTTCCTCCTGCCTGACAGCCCCATATTCAACACCTTTTGCCCAATATATCCACTATCCCTCCTCTGCCCACGTCCAAACCATCTTAGCTATGATAATCAGCATGTTTGATTTGGCAAAGGTTTTACATCGGATGCCTTTCCTAACACAACCCTTCCTATTTATCCCATCTTGGGAACGGCACTAGGAGTTCAATGGCTTGTGGGCCCCACCTGTCACTGGGTTCCCAGAGACAAGCTGCTAATGTGGCTAAAAAGTTTGAAGAGCAACCATGTGAAGACTTCGAAAGCCTACCTTGTGATTCCTTCTTTGTCTTCGCCTCAGGCGAAGGAACTCTTTCTGTTGCCTGGAGACAAAATTAACCCCAGCATATTCGAGCAATGCAGCAAATACAAAGAGCAGACACACAGCCATCCAGATATCAATGGCTTTCACATAGGAGACCTGGGAGAGAAAACAGATGTTTTTTGTTAGATTCTTCAAGCTGACAGCATTGGCTAACAGTTAAAATAAAGTGTGAATGTAGCCTTTAGCTGAGAACGCTATTTAATTTTTGTATTTCTCTTTTATTAATATTAAACTTGAGTCCTATGTGTTGTTGTCTATCAGTTGTTCCACAGCCACTTTCTGTGTTTTTCCTTTTATTTTGCTCCTTCAGTTAATTGTGACCTCTAAATAGCTGTAATTACAGATAATGTTTGCTAACAAGTGTGTCAGAGCTGCCAGCAGTGTCAGTGATTGCGTGGCTTTAACAGTAGCAAATAATTAATGTCTCAACCGCTAAAAGAAAGAGAACTGTGGCATTACTTTGTACCTGTAGTTCCCTGACTTTGATCTGGTTCTTTTAAGAAAGTGAAGATGAGGCTGAAACCTTTTTCTGCTCATCAGTGTGACCCCATCCTTTCATGACAGCTGATTAGCATGTGGAGAAACATCTCTGGTTCTAGAGGGCACTTAAGGCATATTGAATTGTTGTCGGTGCACTGAGGCTGTCAAAGGCTTGCCTTTAAATATTCATCAGCATACGTGTCTTTCATATGAGAATCTCTGACGAGGCTGAGGCCTTTTAGTGCTCATGTGCAGACTGATGTGTGACTGATCATCATCTGACTCGTGTTGTTTCTGCAGTACCTTTAACACTTGATCCAATTTTTTTTGTTACGCCTCGAAATGACCACAGTTTATGAAAAAAATGTTACATATTGTGAACTGTATCAGGCCCAGCTGTGCTTCTACAAAAACACAAAAATAGAGTATCTTATTCTCTGATGTATTACAGTGGCTTTCACAACAGCTCTGAGCTGTAGTTTAAACAGTCCACTGTGGAGAATGCTTTGATTTGCTTTGTTTGTTCTCTCAATTGGTTCAGTGTTTATTTTTGAGTTATAAATCCATCCTCTGTGTGAAATGTTGATGCCTGAGTCTCACACTAAAGGAGCAGCACCCATTTTCAGCTCATTGCACTGACTGCCTAAAGAAGAAATAGTAAAATCTGTTTGATCCACTGGTTGCTTTTGTTTCAAGGTACAGCTGGGATTCTAGGTGCCTACAGCTACATTAAAACTGCAGGGACCTACTATCTTTTTAATAAACTATGAATGCTTTCTAGCAGTGTCAGACAGAATTTATTCAAATGCCAATTATAGTTATGGTTATAAAATCTATTTTTTCCTTGATTGCATTAATTCAAATGATAAATATTTATGACAACCACTCAAACAATATAATTACATAATGGATGTAAACGTACAAAAAATGTAAAAACTCAGAAGTGGATTTATGTACCAGCGATCAGTCTTAAATAACAACATTTGATATTTAATATTTAAACTGCTATTTGACTTCATACTGACTGCATTGTCCATCCTCCGCTCTCCTAGCTGAGCGGCTGAAACCTGGCTGAGTCAGAGGGAGGGTCTCGAGTCTATCACAGGGCTCACCCAGAGAGACATACATCCAATTAACTTAACAAGCATGTCTTTGGACTGTGGGAAAAAGTCGGAGCACCTGGAGACAATCTTGCCAGCAGACATATCTTTTTTAACTTGCATATCCATAACAAACTTTCACTTTTAAAAGAAATATTAATCTTTTAGGTTACTTCCTGTGTGCTCTCCGTTCTTGCTTTAGAAAATTTACCCTGTGATATGACATGAAACACTTTGGCTAATCACAAGTCTTTTCAGACCAGATCAGGTGAGTTGTACAAATTACTATAAACAGCAAAGACATATGTGGGAACATGGTTCAACGTGAGACGCGAATGAGAAATATCTAACAAAACCTAGGACTCAAGCTTCATATGTTTTTGCCACATACAAGGCTTGTGCTTATCTGCTGGAGGAAAACAAACAAAGGTTTTACCTTTGGAAGAGAAGCCCTGGACCCAGAGCTTTGGGTGGTCATGGTAAGCACAGTGGTGATTCCCAGCGCCACTCTGGCTGGAGCAGCATCCATATTAATCCAAAAAGACACCCATGAGAGGATGACAATGAGGAGAGAAGGAATGTACATCTGGATCAGGTAGTAGCCCATTTGGCGCTCCAGGTGGAATTTAACTTCAATACAGGTAAACTTCCCTGTTCATCAACAAGAAAACATATTTAAAAATGCAATTCAGCCATCAACCTGGGAGAAATGTCAGCTGTTTGAAACATAGACATAAATGCTGACCGGTGTTGTAGTGTTTGGTACAGTAGCCCAACTCCTTCTCATCCCTCATGATAAACTGAGGCAGAGTGAGTCCCTCCGACACCTGTACTGCACCGTTCTCCAGCCACTCAAACACCAAGTCATTCATGGTGTATCCAACTAGAGCCAGAGAAGAACGGGTGAATTTAGTAAGTAGATTCTCATTTTAGAAAGTGTAGCAAAAATCTGGAATATAAAAAGATCAGCACTTACAACTTTCCAGTTGCATCGTACAAGTTTGGACGTCCATTGGAAAGTTCTTCAGATCCATCGGGCACGATAGAATGAGAGTCAACCTGTAACATGACACAAGGTCACAATGTAAAATGCAACAAACAACAGTGTTATTTGATGTCAAAAGAAGGCTTATTAACACTCAAACTAGCAGCTCGACATGCGTATTGAAAAAAATCTTGAAAAATTAGATTACAGTTGGTACTTTTTTTTAGTTGTATCAGGTATTGGCTGCTCTTTCTCCTGTGTCATAACCTCCAACATATCATGTAGGATACCCTTCAGCAGGTTCCTATTACACTTTCATTACTGCAACTTATTGTTTCTGTGATGCATTGTGGTCCACAGTCTGCTCACTCTGTCATTTCTCTCATGAATGGAGACTGCAGCTAACCACCTTTCATTTTTCTTCTTGGCCCGCGATACCTTAACACCTGAGCACCACTCAGAGTTGAGCCGCTTTCTAAATGGACTCAGAATTGATCTGCTTTATATCGCATCGCTGCAGAGAAAATTGGATGTTGCATGTGGCTTTTGTATTGTAATAAAATGCAACACATTTTACAAGGTTTTTTTTTCCTTTTTGGCCTGTACTTGTGGTGGTATGGACCCTAAGTTTTCAAACATCTTTTCATATTTAATAGAAGACCAGCATGGAGAAAAATACCCCCTTCCTTCTCAGCTCTAAGTTTGGGCTTTACTTTAGATTTTCACCAGCGCCCCTGAGATTTACTTGTCCTCTTGCAGTCGTATTGCACATGGGAATGTGCTGCGGTTCAGAAAATTATACAGTTTCAAAGAAATGATCACAGTCAGATAAAAATCTGTTTCAAATTGCATGCTGCAGATTGACAGTCTTTGATGTTTAAGAGAAAGTGTAAGAAAGGCAGTAAGTGAACATGTCCTGCGGTAATCTGAGCATTCAGCAGAGATTTCTGCTTCAGCTACACTAATATCAAACTGTGTAAAAGGCAAGTTATTATTGCCGCTTCCTAATCTACCAGTTATTTTTCTCATTTTGTCCCTTTGGTGGTGAAAAAATGTCCAGAAACTTTTTTGTCCCAATATCAAAAAAATAATAATTATTAAAACATTTTCAAATAATAATGCTCTAGTGAAGTTCTTCAGCCTTTTAAAATTGTCTTTAAAAACCTGTGAAGTACTACACCTGATGCTGTAGAGGACAGTCCCATCCTTGAAGATCCTCAGCAGCTTGTTGTCTGTGGTGACATCATGGAAGTTGGCTCCTTTCTCGTTGGCGAAGAAGAGGTCAGGCTTCCATATGGAGTCCAGCATAGATGGGTCCAGGTCAAGGGAGGAATCTGGGTATTTACTGTACGCCAGCCGAGGGTCATTCCACTTCTGCCGCAGGAAGATGTTCACTCTGTAATCCTGCGGAGATGACAGGCGGCTTTGCATATTTTGCAGCGCAGCGATTCGGGTTATGAGAATGCATGCTGATGGAGGAATGTCAATCACTGGTATCAGTTTTTAATATTACATAACCTTCTTTTTGACAAGGTAAATACAGGAAATTTTGTATTTATTTTCTAATACACAAATCATAAATGAAATGCATCTTTAGACCAGACAGTAATGAATGTTTTTGGTGCTTCCAGTGTGTTTTGATGATCATTTTTTAAAACTTTTATTGCAATGCAGAAGGATCGAAAGCAATCCTGTAACATCAGTAATAATCCATGAAAAGTAATAAAAGGAAAATGAGTGACAAATGTGCAAAATTTATATCATTCAGCAATACCATCAAAATTAATCTTAATTATCATACATTTGTTCTCATGGCAACTTTCATGACTACGTATTGTTGCAAGCTGCATTCACAAGCCACTGACCTCACCATAACCTTTCTTATTCAAAATTATGCAAGAGAAGCTAAATGAGGTGTTTATCAGATGCAGAGCCTGAAGAGGAGGCATCTGACAGCACAGTTAGCAGTAGACTGAGTGTCACACAGCTCAATGTAATTGATATGTCACGATGATGAGAAGCCCTTATGTTGCTTGACATTTTATCAGCATATTGGCGGTTCCAAATATCTGCATGCCCGTCTTAATACTGTGTAATTTCCTGGCAACCGTACATGTTCCACCTCCTGCGCAAATTATCATTTTCCATTTATGATCTAAGTAGTTATTATCACTCATTACGATTTGATCCTGATTAGTTTCAGTGCAACCCTGCAGGTTTTATATTTTTACCCTTCAGGGGCTGGATGCCTTCACGCCTCATGCATTGCACATCAGTTTGTTTGAAAGCCCCAGCCCCCCACTGTTAATTATTGGCTCTGCTTAAGTGACTTGTCAGGATTTGTTGTATGAAATAGTAAAACCAGACTCATGGGAGCAGAAACCAATATTTGACTGGATAGCCCGCCAATAAACTTTTTGATGGCAAAGAACTAAATCTTATTTAATGAATAGGAAGACATGGCATGGAAGGATGTTTTAAAAAAGGTCAGCAAGGCTAAGTAAAAACAGGATGATTCAGTCGTATCTCCATAGGAGAGGTCAGGGCTTTAAAACATGTCCAAATACAACGCTCAACTCACCATTGTAGTTTCTGCTATAGAACCAAAGCTGTTGATAAATATGTTGCAGGTAACATTAACTGGTGGACCTGCAGGTTGAGGAATAGATAACATATTGACACATTGTACAGGACAAAAATCAACCAAATACCAGAGGAACTCACCATAGTTGTCTCTGTGACAGAGCCGAAACTGTTGATAAAAATATTGCATGTAACGTTTACAGGGGGACCTGTGAAATGGAATGACAATGAAATGACAGGAAAAAGCCTTAAACCATACGTATTATAAAGGATGACTGGGTTTCAGGTGGGGAAGATATTTTGACAGGAAAACGGAAAATATGCATTCACAGAACAAGCGGTGTTTTGAACTTTTGTTTTTGAGGGAGCTTCGGGGCAGGAAAAATCTATTAATTAGTAAAGGCACCACTGTGTCAGCTTAATGTTATAATGATGCAGTGATGTCTTGTAGGGTAATGTAGGCAATCTTTCAAGGTTGTCGTGCTGTAAACACATTTTTCTTGTGTTTACACAACACAAGGGGAGACATGCACATGCAGATAGGAGCATGCACACAAACACAAAAGTACCTTTGGCTGGATAATCAATTAGAAATCCCCACAAAATGTAATGTTAAGTACTCTATTAACTAAGAGTTGTTTCAGTATAAACAAAATCGCAAAATAACTGGTTTTGGCTTCAGAAATGTGATTATTTTATGTGACGAATTTTGATTTGGATGATGAAGCTGGGATTGTCACTGACATTCCCTTTCTTTTTACTAAACAATTAATTTCTAATCAACTGGGAAAGTCATCTAGAGCATTTTTTTAAAGTGAAAACACTCTCTGGCTGCAGTTCTACAACAATCTTTTCTTCTTTGTATCAAATCTGAGCAGTTTCTCTCCAACACTGTGAGTAAGAAGTGCCCGGCATGCTTTGATGAATAGTGTCATCTTTTTCTGTATAGAAGAGGCTGAGCTGAAATCTCTTTGCGAGGCTTGGCAGGTTATGTGCCATTTAAAGTCAAAGCAAATCTTTTTTCGCTCTCTCTCTCTCTTTTTCTCTCTGATAAGTGGAGCTGTAAGCCCTTCCTAGTGCCCTTCCCCTGTGTTTTCTTCATCAATATTGCATGGAGCTTGGTATTAATATTTGCCTCAGTTTGTCGTTAGCTTGCTACATTTAACAGTGGAAGCAGAAAAATATGGCAGTACCTGCTGCTGACGACAAAACTCACGCAAAGGAAATCTAGGGCAACCTTCAGAAAATGAGTTCAACACTCTTCAAAGTGTGACTAGCAGGTTCAGAAGCAAAATCATCTATTTACGATGAAGTGAGCTCATGCAAATGTTGGGGGGGAGGGTTCTTGCCAGAAAATGTATGCGTGTGCATTCAGAACTCTGTGTGTGTGTGTGTGTGTGTGTGTGTGTGTGTGTGTGTGTGTGTGTGTGTGTGATCAGAATAAAGAATAACTGGAAACATAAAATCAGGCTTTTTTTCTTTTTGAAGGCTAGAAGTGATGCATCATCCCTCGGCAAAAAAAAGAAAAAAAAATGCCAGCTGGTATTAAGCAGGCTATCTTCCTCTTATCTTGAGTCCATCTCAGCAATAAACATTTTTTTCCCTTTGCCTCAAATGGGAAGGAAAGATCTGGGCCATGTGTCTCTGAGTCTGATTAGCTCCTGTGCTGTACTGTCTGACTGCTTCAGCTACCCAACAAGTCCCTGTCCACCTGACCCAGCCTGGAGTGGGCCTGAACGCCGCTGGGCTAGCATCTTCTCACTCAGCTCTGTTCCAGTGCTGTGATGCTGTGTCTGTCCTCAGCATCACAGCAGCAACAACAACAGAGGAAGTCAGTAGCCTGCAGCCTTGCCACGGGGGCACCATCCATCATTTGGCCTGTCATGGTGGCATCCTTGTCTACTGCAAGAACCAATTTGTTTCTTTGTGACGGAGATATTTACAAGCATCCTTTTTAAATGATGTTATCCTGATGGGGATTCTGCTTTACACATTTTCAGGAAATGAAAACATGCACGCAATGTTATAATGAGGAATTAATTTGTGGTTTCATTCAAGCCGGAACAATCATGTTACTGATGACTGAAGTGATTGTGTGTTCTGAGTCATTTTAGTGAATCATATAAGTAAAGATGCCCAACTTGCTGTGTTTCTAGAAATTTGTGGGGCGTGTGGAGATTATGTTAAAACATAAAGATCGTGACAAACAAACCTTTAAAATTCGGTCTTATTCGCGCATCATACCCAGACGTGCGACCCATGAGTGAGTCCAGAAAGTCTGATGGAGACAGGTTGGAGGATGATCTGGAATCGTGCTCCTTGGCGTCCACAACTCTGGAACGCACACATGGTGAGAAAAATCACTGGATCACACAAGTCAGAGCTCAGAATCGGGAGTTAAACCTTATCTTTCCCCTAGCAGCTGCCTCGCAGTGGTGGGCACGCAGAGCGAAACCAGAAAAAATGCGTTAATTGGCACAAACGTATCGGATGGGATTTCGACGTCGTGGGCTTCTCCTCTAAGAAAGGATTATTCTGTCGATAAAGATTCACGCACAGATACCACACCACGCTGTAGCCATGTTTTAACGCAATGTTGAGTTGCCAGAGGGGAAGGGAAAATACCATCACACGCGTAAACGTCTCTGTCACCATTTAAGTACAAACCAAATTTCCCAATACGAATATTATTTGTATTAATAATATTTTAGTTAGAGAATAATCTCGACAAAACAATCGATGATTAAAATCTTAATCAAGAAAGAGTTTTGAAAATAAAAGCACATCATATTCAATTACCAACTTTGTTCAGAAATTTCTTCACTGTCGCTGCTTTCATGTCGTTTCCCTAACATCGAAAACTTCTAACATCTAAATTTCCAAACTTTACTTGGAAGAGACAAAGTGTTTCACGGATATTGAATCAAATGTGTTTGATAAATAGAGTCGCCTACCTGAAGTTGTTTGTCTCCATCACATATATGAATAAAGCTGCTAAAACCTTAATAAGGGAGCGATTCATTCCTGGTGGTTTCCCCATGTGCTCACTTTTCTATTTCTTCCATATGTTTACATTAGTCAAACACATAATCCAGATAGGGACCCCGCTTTTTTCCGGACTAAGTCGTGGGCGTTTGGGTCTTCTTTTGTCACAGGAATATACAGGAGACATTCCTCAACGCGGTTTCATGAAACTCCCGAAAACAGATTTGTCGAAGCGTAGGTGTGAAGAGACATCAGTCCAGTGGCCAGACGTAGAGAAGCTGAAACTCCAAGACGCATCAGCTGGAAGCTCTGCTTCGGTGGCGCTCGCTGAGATGTAAGAGCGGGCTTTGAGAAGAACAGCCCGTTGGCTTGCGTTGTTACTCATGAAGTGAGATCTTTCTCAGGTGGGGGGAACGTCAAGGAATGAGAGAGGAACGCCTTTTTCTCATTTCAGCACTTGGACAGCTCCCGGTTGAGTTACGCGCAAGCGCAAGGCTTAAAAGTGGCGGACGTGAGTTGGTTTTCAATAAGTCAAATAAACGAGGAAGGTAATCACTTGAAAGACACTCAGACATTGTCTTCATTGTCTTTAAATGACGACGCTTTTAAATGATAGCATTTACCTCACGAGATCGGCTTAATGGGGGAACTCTGGGAGCGCGCAGCTGCGCGTAAGAATCAACTGGTTTTAGAACATTTCTTGTGTTTTCTAGAGATGATGCACGGCGTTTAAGCTGAACGGTGGTGTGGGCTTCTAGTTAAATCGACATCTACTTAGGATCTGATTTATTACAAAGCAGATCTATTCTTCAGGGCTGTTATTATCGTATTACATATTGTGGGTGTATAACATAAAACTGACTGTGTGACTCTCACTCCGTTCCTGTCTATATATTTGCAGTGTTGTTGTTGGTTTTTTTTGTTCCCACCCAAATGTGTTTAGAGCAACCTACAGATATCAAGAGTGTAAACAAAGGAGGACGCACCAGCGAGATGCTGCTGGGAGAGTATTTGGTACCCCGGTTGCCCTGGAAACAGATTTCCAAGGCACATCATTGGAAATGCTGAAAGGTTGGCCTCCCAGAGCGAGACCGAAGAGAAGCTGACTGACAAACACAGACGGAGACAGCAGGAAATAAAGGCTACTACAGGGTGGCTGTAGCCTGAGGGTGGAGGAACTGAGGTTTAGAAGGCCGCCACACAGATTTGGGTGATAACTGTTCAATATATATGTATATAAGCTGCTGGTGGTGATGCAGAGAGTGGATAGGGACCTGGCAGTTTGAGGATGTGAGTGGGCTGTGAGGCTTTATGGACCACAGGCATGAATGACTCATTCCACATGAACGCACAGGCATGTGGTGAGGAGGAAGCAGCTAAACTTAGTGAGAAAAGAAAATATTTCATTCACTTCAAGCCAAGTGCAGGACTCCTGTTGTAGGATTACTGCCAGCACATCACACGCTTATTGCACTTTAGCCCGACACTTGGCTACTAACCAGTTAACAGATCATCTTAGCCCTTCTCAGGTCAAGCCGTCACCTCCCTCACCCCACCGCCAACCCCTTTAATGCTGTCATAAAAGTGTCACTTTGTATCTTATGCTCAGGAAGGCATGGCTTGCCATAGTCTGCAGATTTAACATTGATGTATCAACAGAGGTCTTGCGCATGGCTTGTTCTGAAGTATTATAAATACTGAATGATTGCATGAATTATTGAACAACTGGCACATGTACTGTTTTTCATAAATACTTTCAAGTTAAAAACAAAAACAAAAAAACAAAGTTTGTCTTGTCTTGTGTCAACCATTTATGTGGATAACTCCACTTGTGAGCATGTCTGGTTCAAGGCAATAACACCTATAAAACCCGGTATTTTCTCTAATGAATACATTTCTCTCTGGTAAGAGCCAAAATCGTCTTTGCACTCACGCCCTTTATTTCCCATCTTTGAGACAGGTGCACTTGGCATGTCTGTGTAATGACACCAAACCAGAGCTTCAATTGGCCATTAGTTTCCATAAGGAAAGACTTCAGCCCAGGTGGGTCACATAATTAAAGGAGAACAAGTCAGATCTGCTTGTCACTGAGGCGAGAGAGTGTGTGTGTGAGACAGAGAGAGATCTGGGCCTCTCTCTGTGAATAAAACAGGACAATCCTTTAGACAAGAAATGCCTGTCGGTCTCATTTATCCAGCAGTTTTCACATAGCTATTAAAAATTACAGGCTCGGGACAGGCGCTATTTTAAAGCTTCCCACCCACAACAACAAAGACTGGTTGCTGCTGCCTGTTATTCTTTGGGGAATTAGAGGTTTTACATCATCAGCTTTATTGTGATGTCCATAAGGATTTGCTGCACAATTTATAACTATGAAATTAAACGAAGGGGCTTCAACTTTATAATCTCTCTCCTATAGAACTGCAGCCAAAACTAATGCATGTTTACTTGTTTACATTTATTATTGTCCATACAACTATTTATTTAGGAAGAACAAGTTCTGTGTTGTCTGGGTAGGTGGTCATTATTGATCCTGCGGAGTTGTAGACTGACTGGAGAGCTCACCTGGAAACAACAAGCAGACTTTACACCACCCTGATGCTCATGTGCACTGGACTGAAGACAAGTGGGAGCTTCGGAGTATCCATTGCCTCATCGATTCTTTGTATCTTTATCCCACTTAATGACTTTTCTGCTCTATAATTCAACTCATGGAGCTGATCTTGGGGCCTAGCAGGGATACGGAGAGGTAACTTGTGGCTGGAGCTATTTTAGAGAGACAACATGCCGGAGGAAGAATGCAAAGGATTTAATGAGGGGATTCTTGAAGACAAGCAAGGATTTGAGAATTCTCTAGTGCCAAAACACCCAACACAATTATCATAAGCTCTCTCTCACAGCGAAATGAAGCTATTTTGAGGTTCCTACATTCCACACAAGAGAATGATAAAGTCATTTAGATTATACAGTGCAAACAGTTTGTCTGCAACGCAGTCACATGAAACAATGTTTACTCTTCTCTAGGTATTACAGCTATGGATTCATATGAACCCCAAGCCAATAAAAAGCCTAAATTCTAATAAGGATGCACCTCCTTATAGGGTGTGTTATCCCTCAAGCTGAGTGAAGAGAGCAGTGGTGGTCTTCACTAAGACTCATCTGTCAATCACAGCGTTGCTTCATCAGTAGGAGCACACTGACAGCCAGAGAGCCTTTCTCCATCACTGAGCACTGAAGACCCACTGATCCACAGTCTAGACCCCCATCCATCCTCCACAGTCACTCCATGTCTACACATTTAAAGAGATTAAAAGAAACTATAAAATGCCACAATGTTTCTACAGGATGTACGCATCTTATCGAATGCGCTGCTCAGTTTCTTAAGCAATTACTTTTTAAGCAACAGTGACTCCATCGTGTTTTACTTATATCTACATGTCGGGACATCTCCCCTGAGTTTCAGTTTCTGTGCAGTCACCCAAGCATCAAACAGCTCATCTACACGTACTTTTTTCTTGGCCAATGTCTGCTCCATGTTGACACAAACTCATAATTTATCTATTTCTGGCTTGTAGGCTTGTCTCGCCGAGAGTTGCCACACTGGTTGTGCTGCTGTCAAAATGATGCAAGAATAAATTGAAGACTGAATGCAATTTCAGTTGTTTAACTGGTTTCAATCAAATTTTCCTTTTCACTGCCTTTAAAAAAAGATATTTATGGAGAAAACCGATGAGTGCTCTACTGAGTATTCTCAGTATTCTCTCAGTGGGAAAACTTCTGTGGCAGAGATAGTGTCATTATGACATGTGCCATTTAGTGGTGTGTGTAAAGGTATACAGTTAAAAGCTCACTGGCAGAATACAAGATTTGATGTGCTCGCACAAATATTAAAATGATTAGCATGCAGCCTGTCAAATGGAAGAATGCATTAAAGATGACTTGCTTGTCACATTCAGAATCAATTTGAGCAGCATACTGTTCCGGAGAGGTTTGTCTATGATGTTTCCTGCCCCAGTCGGGAATTTTAAATTTAAATACTGCTTAATGTTGAAGAAATACAAAGAGGCAAAAGACTGCTGACAGCCCACAGTAACATTGTTTGCCATTATCAAGCATCAGTGTCTTTCTGACTGAACCAGTGTCACGTCTCGTCTCATTCTCATCATGTGTGTCTTGCTGTAAAACTACCAGAAAGGTTTACTCTGTCACAGCTAGGCCACATTTGAATTTACCTTGGAATTTTCTTTCAAAGCGGTCCCCAAATCTGACGACTGCCCAGCATGTCTTCATGCTCGAGTTCATGTCCACACTTCCCAAACCTTTCCTATATCGGTTGTTTCTTTTTCTTTATTAAGCACTAACATTTTTAGCAGATGCTTTAATGTGATTGGTTACATTATAGCTCACCCTTTACTGCTATATTTCAGATAAACACACTATTAAAGGGAATCAGAGCTTTCTTGGTAGTAATGTTAAAAATGTCCATTCTAAGGATAATCAATATCCAGGCACAAGTATGACTTTCAAAATGTGGGTTGTATTATACCCCAAAAAGATTAATAATAATATCAACATACATAACCATAAAAATAGTTATTTATTTCTGTACTTATTTAAGAAATAAGCCGGTAAACTAAACAAACCTACTCAAAAATAAGGCTCTCCTAAACAAATATTTTGTATTCTAGTGGAGAAAACATTTCAAAGGCAAAGTGGGGACAATGGCTATATCAAAGAAAAACAACAACAGAAACATAATTCTCCCCTATGCTGTTGCAGCAGATGGTTTAGTCCATTTGGGTGACCTCTGTGTTTAAACCAACTCCACCGTAGATTCAGCCTCCTCTTTTACTCAAAGCAGGAAGGACTGGAACAAACCGCAAGTAACTCAGGAAAACAGTGGGAAATAAATAATGCAGCTTCTATAAATCAATGACAAAGCCTGCTAACAATCATCAAGGTGGTCCTGACTAATCTAGGGACGGGGTTTGGTTAACAGCCAATTCCTCACACTTTTTAAAGAATTTTCCCACATGTTCCAAAACCCGAAAGCTGCTTTAAAATCCATGACAGAATATGCACACTAACAATGTATTCAAACAAACTATGGCTGATCTACTTTATAAAGGATGTAAAGATGCAGAAGAAACCTTTATGTTGAGTTCATTACATCATCCACATTTTGTAGTTTTCTTCTTTATTTAATCTCATTTGTTCTTCACTAACCGTCATATCTGGCATATAAAGCATTACACAGCCTGTTCTATTACTGTGTTAATAGTAATCTATAAAGAGCATTAAGTCCCACATGAAGCTGTCACTGCAAATGTATTTCTGTTGTTACTAAATGAAATGATAGGACAGGTAGGCTTTATTATTCCAA